AATAAATATTTACTGTGTATCTTTTATGTGCCAGGCTCTATTCTAGATACTGGGGATGGGACTCAGCAGTGAAAAATATAGACAAAGTCCCTGCTCTCATGGAGTTTATATTATGGAGATGGATGATAAACAAAAAAGGTAAGTATCAGAAGATAAGAGCTAAGAAGAAAAATAAAGCAGGTCAAAAGAACAGAAAGTGTGGGAGGAAACAGGGAGAAGAAGGGTAATAAAGATAGAAAGTGATCAGGGAAGGCATCACTAATAAGGAAATATCTGAGCGGGTATCTCGATGAAGTGAGGGAGACACACCGTGTAAATCTGTAGGAAGAGCACTCCAAGGCAGAGGAAAGACAAAGAAGAAAGCGCCTGAGGCAGGAGTGGATTTGGTCTGCTCAGGAACAGTGAGGAAGCCATCATGTCTGAGCAGAGTAAGCAAGGATGGGGAGGGAGAAGATAAGATCAGAGGGTGTGGGGGGTATGGGGAAGGGTCTTAGCAAGGACTTTGGGTTTTATTCTCAGTGAGATAGGAAACACTATATTGGAGGGTTTGAGCAGAGGAGTGATACAATTGAACTTGACGTTTTGAAGGATAACTGTTTTCTTTGTGGAGATTAGACTTTAAGGCAATGAGGGTGGTAGGAGGGAGATCAATTAGAAGTAATCCAAGTGAGAAATGAGGGCAACTGGGTCAGAGTGATTGTGGTGGAGGTAATTTAGTACAGTGTTGTGGTTAATGGACAAAAATAACTTCTGAGATAGTCTTAGATGACAGTGATACCTTCTGGCTCAGATAAAATCTTATGAAGTCTTACACTAATAGAAGAGAGCCAATATAAAAGCAAAGAATGAAGTTTCTACAGGAGGAAAAAAACTAGTATTTTTAATTTGGCAGAACCCAATACATCCAAAGCCAACAAACGGTACCCTAAGAATGAGAGGAGGATGGTTTTTGTAGGAAACTGCGCAGCTGAGCTGAGGGATTTGAGCTAGAGGCAAGGGCCACCTCAATTGAGTGTATCTGTGAACGTGAGGTGTGCCCTGGGGCTGATCTATGGAATGCCCACAGAGACTCTGGGAGCCATGCAGAGAGTGCATGAAATGGCTGCACTGTGTGCTGCAGACCTGTGCTGTCTCCCTCATGACTCCTGCCCTGCCTGTGACTGATCAAATGAGGCTATGCCTGAGAAACAGGCGGTGAGAGCACCTCACAAAACAGGGGATTGTGATTATGTTATTTTAAATTGTTACATGATTTGTTTTCTGATTACACGCACGCCATTTCTCATTATTTCCAGTTCTAACTTTGAGGTACTAAAGACACATCTTTTTCTAGGACAGGCTGTTGAAAATTCCTTTCAGTCTTATTTGGAAATGCTTAAAATCAACTAGATATTAGTATCATAACACAGCGAAAGGTATATTTCATAAAAACAGACAGAATGACTATGTTACTTTACTTTCGTATGCAAAAGACTTCTTTTAAGCATCGGGCCCATATAAAATGGGAAATAAATATAAATAAATAAATTATTAATTCAATTTTACTCTAACTTCCTTCCACTTAAAATAATCATGATGGCCCATGTTATCTTTTACATAAAGATCTGAAAGCCTGGATACTAGATAGTGATAAAAAAGTGACTTAAGGAGTTACATTAAGACAAAAGAGGACTCAGCCTACCGTGGTGATGTAGCGGGAATGGAATTCTGGAGCATCTTTCAGGAACGTAAGGCCAGGATGTGTATCCACCACATCCTGAAAAAGATCAAAACCAAAACTAAATTAACAAACATAAAAAAAAAAAAAGTCTACTAAATTTTTTCCTTTCTGTATAAGAAACCAGGATGTGTATCCACCACATCCTGAAAAAGATCAAAACCAAAACTAAATTAACAAACATATAAAAAAAAAAAGTCTACTAAATTTTTTCCTTTCTGTATAAGAAGTTGCCAGTTGAGCAAACTTGCTCTTATAGAATACTGAATAGTGCACTTAAAATTTAATACTTCATTAAATTCAAATTTTATGAAAAGCACACTTATATATGTTTTTCTGTATCCATAGTATACTTCAATAAAAAGTTAAAATTTTAATTTAGCTATTATTTGGTGATTTGTGAATCAAATGTTTTAGAGGTATGTACTGTAATTCTAACATATCAAGGCATGTCAAGGAAATTCATCCCACAAATCCTGGTAGGGGTTGCTAAGTGATACTTATACAGGATGGATAATAGAGAGTGAATCTCTTTCTTAACTTAGAGACATGAGAAATTTTTGAAAAAGATACCCATGTAGCCAGGTAGTTTTAAATCTGTCCATGTTAAGTTGTGTGAGCCAGCTACTGTCCAACAGTTTATACCAAAATAATTGTGCGAACAAACCGTTTCAATTTAGGATTTTACTTTATTTTTTTTAAATTTTTCCAACAGTTTATACCAAAATAATTGTGCGAACAAACCGTTTCAATTTAGGATTTTACTTTACTTTTTTAAATTTTTTTTTTTCGTGTCCGGCAACGGACTGCAACCCTCAGTGTCGCGCCCGTACCGGACCGGGACCGGCAACGGGATCGCAACCCTCGGCGCTGCGCCCGCCCCTCGCTCAGCCAGTGAGCGGGAACCGGTCTGTATGTGGGATCCGAACCCTCGGCAGGAGCGCCGCCGCGCTTCCCAAGCGGCGCACTGTAGCAGTGCGCCACCGGGCCGGCCCCAGGATTTTACTTTATTTTTAAATCTGGTATCTTGTTCTTGTTAAGACTGCTAAAATACTGAAACCCTGAAATACTGTTTTTATTTTGTAATTAGATTTTTAAAACACTTTGAGTCTAGAGAACCTATTAGAGATAATTACTATTAATGTAATAACAAGAGGCAACATCAATGCCAACATAGATATAATCTATTAATTGGCTAGTCATCAATGGACAGACATCAATTATATCTCTTTCCTTTGTTTCTTCAGAAGAGTTGGCTATACATACCTACCAACATAGTCTAAAACCAATGCACCTTACTATTTAACTTTTTATTTGGAAATAATTTTAGATTTACAGATGTTATAAAAAAAATATCGAAGAGGAATTTCCTATGCCCCTCTCCCAGCTTCCCATAATGGTAACAACTCACAAACCACAGTACAATGATCAAAACCAGGAATTAAATATTGATACAATACTAAAGTACACACCTTATTCAAATCTCACCAATTTTTCCTCTAATGTATTTTTCTGTTCTAGGATTCTACACTGTATTTAGTTTTTGTGTCTCATTGGTCACCTCCAGTCTGTGACAGTTCCTCCATCTTTCCTTGTCTTTCATTGATTTTCATGCTTGTAATGAGTTCTTGTCACTTATTCTGTAGAATGCCTCTCAATTTGGTTTGTCTGATGTTTTGTCATGATTAGGTTATGTTTACATATCTTCAGCAGGAATACCACAGAAGTGATGTTGTGTCCTTTTCAGTGTGTCACAGTGCATCAAACAGGTAGTACATGATGTCAATGTGTCTTATATCTGGTGACATTAACCTCAATCACACTCAGTTCAGGTGGTGTCTGCTGCATTCTCCACTGTAAAGTTACTGTTTTTCCTTAATAATTGATGAATACCATGGGGGACATACTT